CATGGCGGTCTTCGACTTCCCCGAACTGGGTAGCAAAGGCCTGTCTCATGGCGATGTAGTCCGTCTGTGGGATGGGTTTAGCCCAGTCCCGGACCTCACTCGTAGCTTCAGCTTCGGCCTGTGTCTTGACCCTAGCAGAAGCTGTCTGCCATGCCACAATGAAGCTAGCGATCTGGCCTCTGGAGGCTAGCGTGCCATCAGGAGCCATGGAGAAGGCGTCTTGAAGCACCTTGCGGAGATCTTCTTCGCTAGCAACAAAAGCAGCAAATTTTGCCATTGTATCGATGCCATTGTCGAAAAGTGTAGCCTGGTTAGTATCGCTGACCCTGTTCTGGGTCAACATGTGTCGGAGGTCAGATGCCCCTTTAGCCAGCTTGGCGGCGTCCGCTGCCATGGCTAGCCCGGAGGTCTTACACTAGGGAGGCCAGGAGAGCACAACAAGGCTTTAGCAGGTGCAGAGTGTAGGTAGCACAGCTCAAGCGGCCTGTTCCTGGCAACTTTCGGAGATCTAGCAAGATCCCCCTTTCCCAAACCCCCCCCCCCTCCCCTCCCCAGGCCCAGTGGGAAGGTGGTGAGGATGTGGTCGGGTCCCTCCTTTTGTGGGCGCCCCAGTTTTCCCCCCTAAAAGGCTTTGCCCCTTAGCGGAAAACCTCTCTCTCGCGCCTCCCTTCTTTCTGGCAAACGGAGTCCTAGCGCGACGGCCTTTATAGCGGGCCCGAAAGCGGAGTTAGCCGTGCATGCACTGGGTGCACCAGTGAGCATGGTGGTCGTCTAGCGGCCACCACATGCGCCTGTTGCACATGTTAGCGTGGCAATTGGGGCACCGTATGATACATCTAAAAATATAGTTTCTATCGTCCCAACGGCCGAAGCCGAAGGTATCGTCCTCATCATTAGCAACATGTAGCGGGAAGGGCACGTCCCGCTGCATCCAGGTCGCCAGTTCTAGCGCCCGGCCGGTCGGAGGCATAGCACAGATCTGCTCCAAGTCGTAGCCCGTCAGGTCTTGTAGCCACGCAGGGTTGGTAGCATTGATCGGTGCCATCTTGTCTTTGCCTTTAGCGGAGCCCTTCCCCTTGCCCTTAGCTGCAGCCGGCGGCCCCTCCTCCAAGGTCCAGGTGCCTAGCGGCCACAGAGGCCGCGGCACTGACGACCAGGAGAGCTCTAGCAGGTTGCCGTCATCGCCCTGCGGCCGGCTGTTAGCATGGGCTCCCACTGGCGGTGGCATGACGAGCTCGACCGGCACAGTTGTGCCACGTAGCTCGGCCACGGAGCGGCTGTCATGTAGCGAAGTGAGAGGGCCATCGCGCAAGGTCGGTCTCATGGGCCTAGCCGCTAGCAGCACCACGTCCCAAGTGCGGTTGGGGTCTGGTAGCGCTGTGGGTGGCTGCTGCTGGCTGCCGCCCGACCTGCTTAGCGACCGTCTCGGTGTATGCGAGCGCCTCTGGTTTGTAGCCGCTCGTCCTTGGACTAGCTCCTGGCGACCCAACGTGCGAGCTGGTAGGGGGTTAGCTTCCTGTAGCTGTGGGAAGACCCCTAGCCCCATCTTGTTGGGCGTAGCGGAGCGGCGCCGAGCATCGTCCTTTGTAGCAGCAGCGGTTGGAGCGGCAGTAGCGGGGGCTGGGTCGTTGCTGCCCCGCGGTGCCTCAGCGGCTTTAGCGGCACTCTGTGTGGCCTGGGCCAACTGTGCTCGCTCTAGCTCTTGCTGCTGCTTCTGCTGCATCTCCTCTAGCGTCTGGCGTAGCTGAGCCTCCTGGGCTTGCTGCTGCTTTAGCTGCTCCGCTTGGAACTCAGCTAGCAGCTCGGCCTGTCTCTTCTCTAGCTCCGCCAGATGCTGAGCCTTCATGGTAGCGAGGTCGATGACTTCTTCAGCCGGTAGCGGCTCCTGCTGAACGACTCCGTGGATCTTATCCACTAGCAGGGCCTTCTCGACCTCGTTTAGCTCCTTCTCCTCCTCCGCGGTGAGGTCGTCTAGCGAGGTCAAGCTCGCCAGCCAGTCAAGGCGGTTGTTGTAGCGGGACCCCACCGGGAAGCGTTGCTTGGAGGCCCCTTCCGTTGTAGCTGCTCGAAGGCCTGGCGGGACCTGGGCCTTCCGCACGGTGTCCACTAGCGTCTGCAGCTCGTCCGGGTGCAGCCGAGCTCGGAGCACGCCTTCTAGCGTGTCCTTGTCGGACTGCACCCAGTGCTTGACCGCTGTAGCGCAGTCGATTGCCGAGTGCTCTGTAGCGGGCACCTGTGAGCTAGCCATGCCGATGGCTGCTAGCTGCTAGCTGTTGCTTCGCCAGGATTTACCTAGCACGGGTCTTCTCGAGAGAGAAAGCTGTAGCGAATGCGTCTCAAAGCTGCAGCACACTAGCGTACCCTTGCGCACTCACTGCCTGACCTAGCCCGCCTCGCAACCTTCGAAATGGGGCAGGGGACAAAAGGGAACCCCCGAGGCAAGCCTAGCACACACAGCGACAGCAAGGACATGCAGCAAGACCGCGGCAACATGTAGCGAAACGTGGTTCTCTCCTCTTCTGTCTTCTCCCCCGAGGAGACCCCCCCCCTAGCGAGAGAGCGAAGAAGAAGAGAAACAGGAACTCGTACCAAAATCTATTTTAGCGTGCGAATCAAACTTCTGTAGCCGTGGCAGTTGCCAGGCCCCCATTAGCCAGAGCATTTGTACTCCGGCCCGGGAAGCTATCAAGCAGCCAGTTCTACCTCTAGCTGCGGTTCATCCCCCGAGTGAGCCGAGGAGGTCTCCGACCCGTCTTCTAGCTCCCCGGCCGTGTCGTCTTGCTGGGGCCAGCAGAGGCGGCACACATGGGTGTACTCCGAGCTAGCTGGAAGGGCGTCAAAATTTTTAGCATTCCGAAAGTAGCGGCGTTGGCCCATCCAGCATCCTTTCCCGCTAGCTTTATGCAGCCTAAAGACAGCCCCCGGCTGTCCCACGACCACATAAGCCGTCTGCCTGTCCTGCAGTCTAGCAGGCTTGGGTGCCCGCTCCTCGCTGGAGCTGCTGCTGTCCCCACTCGACGTGGAGGAGCTGCTTGAAGAGCTAGCACTGGACTCTAAAATCGGCGGGGCACCACTCCAGCCACCGGTCCATCTAGCTCCACATCCGTTTTCCAGGTGATTTCTAGCACCCGAGCCTGCCACTCAGCTTGTGCCGGCGGCAGCCCTTTCTTATCAACAAGCCAGTCCCGCAGCGAAGTGCCTATCTCGCGTTCGTCTAGCACCTCGCTGTGGCCTGGTCCTTTAGCAGCTTTGGCAAAAACTGCCTGCAGCCGGGCGACCCTTCCTGGGAAGGTTCTAGCATAAGTGTCGGAGCTCTCTGGCTTCCAACGTCCTAGCAGATCCTTGTCGGCAGGTGGCGTCTCTTGTAGCGAGAGGCCTGTTGGCAAGACCGACCGCTCACTATGCTCAGTCCAGAACCCTTGGACCACCGAGGGCAGGCCAAGAAGATGTAGCAGTGCTGCTGTAGCCACCACTGCGTCCGGGTACTCCGCGATCTTGGTCTCTAGCATGCCTTGGCTACCCAGACGTGGGAGAAGGTAGTCCCGCTTGTAGGGTGCCCTTTCCTTTAGCAACTGGAAGCCGACTTGTAGCCACGTCTTGCGCTTGAAGAATGCGTGCTCAGATACACACACAGGCAGCTCCTTGACCTTCTTGTTGGGGCCGGAAGTTTTCGTCTTCCGTAGCGTGGTGGTTAGCCTCCCCTCCACTAGCCGTAGCTCATGTGGCAGAATGGCCTGAAGGTCGGACCACCTGAGTGTAGCCCATGTCTTCACCAGTTTGGCCCAGGCCCATATGCGATGCCCCACAGCTTGTGTAGCATCTAGGACCAGATCTTCTAGCTTCACTAGGATGAAGACGGGGTAGCGTGGCGCCCTTTTCGTAAGAGGTGTTCCCTGTGAAAGCTCTTCTGTAATGCTGTCTCTAGCGGCCAGTGCAAGACGTCCTGCGGTAGCTCTTTCTTCAGCTGGAAACTCGCCGACCTTTTCCAGCCAAAGTATAGCACTGTAGATGGAAGCTGGTATGGAGCGTCCACATGGTTCATCTCGCCGGACCACCAGATAGTCCACCAAGTCAGCGGGGCGGCCCGGCGGCTTTTTGACCTTAGCCTCCCAGAGCCATAGCCGCCACCTCTTGTAGGTAGTGAGGTAGCGCTTCAAGGTGGTGGCTCGCGTGCTGCCTGCTAGCATGCTGGCGGCACGTTGCGGATCCAGGCTGCTCTCAAGTTGATCTAGCACAGGTGCTCGGCATTCCCGGAGTTCTTCGTGTAGCCGAAGAGTCCACACCTCCAGAAGTTTCTCTCCCCTGGCTTGTAGCACACTTCCCTCTAGGATCAGCTTCCTGCGCCGTTCCCCGGGAGGGGGTCTAGCAGAATCTTCCTGCTCTTCCGGGTCCGCACCACGTAGCCTTTTCTCCGGCGGTTCCAAGGCCGCCCAGTAGAGAGGCTCCCGGTGGAATCCAGCCATTCTTATCTCGACTGGGGCTTTTCCTCTAGCTTCCTCGATCAAGAACTGGAGCAACCGTTCTAGCTCCGCACTGAAGGGGATCCTCAGCTCGAGGGCCAGTTGTTTAGCCAGGCCCGAAACGTCCTCGTCCCGTACCGTGGCTAGCTCCGGGTTGCGGAACCCCTGTTCTAGCAGGTAGCCGCGGCACCTCTGTAGCAGGAGGTTCCGGTGCTCCTCTTCCGGTTCCGGTGGCTGTGGCTGAGCGTCTAGCATTGCCTCCAACTCGGACAGAGCCGGACTATCCGGAACTTCCTCCACTTCCATAGCGGCGAGCGGGGGCCTAGCCCCCGTTTCCTTTCCTATAGTACTCTGAAAAACTTCTACCCCCCAAAGGGGTTCTAGCCGTAACGGCGACGGATAGAACACATTTAGCGAAAACACCTTCGATGTTTTAGCTGTCGACACCTTCGATGTCGAAGGAGGAACTTCGGGTTGCTAGCACACACAGTTGTCCCTCGTCCCTCGTTACAAGAAGCTTTTCTCACAATTCAAAACTTCCTACGTGTCGGCTTTATTTTGCAGTGGAATGAACGCATCACCTGGAGATGAGAAAGGGCAAAGGGCCTTCAGGTGCAGTCGCCGCACGCTGCTCATCTCGAGCTCCATGAAATCTGCTCACGCGTCATCCGCGACCGTCACGGCCGGCCGCTATGCTATGTCTACGAATGGAACACCTGCCTCGAACGGCATCTAGCTCTTCCTTCTGCACGGACTTCAAGACCCGACCACTCACTTTCTCCAGGCAGGACTTGTAGACCTGTTCTATTGGAAGCATGACTGGCCAGCCCGAAACCCTGTTGCGAAGAACACCCGGCGTCAAAGCGTCCGAGCCTCCATTGCCGTTTCCTCCACCGCGCTGAGCGGCAAGCGGAACTTGGCCATCTGGAATGCCAGGATAAGACACCGGGCAGACACCATGTGCCGCGGTTTGACGACACTGACATGCGCCTCATCGCTCAGATCAGGCTTCATCTCCGCCAACTTGCTCTTCTCATCCTGAAAAAGCAAGTGCAACGTGAATGCAAGCAGCACCTGGCTCAAGCGAATAGTGTTTTTCGATCCAAAGCCGTGCTAATCAAGAGTTGTTTGCTTCTCCAGATTTCGACGCCAGAAAGTCCTCCTTCGTGGGCTAGATTCTGGGCAAAGCACGGCTTGATGAGCTTTGGATGCTGGTTGGCATGGTACCACTATCACACCCGGAACCCTTGGATGCATCTCCGTTTCTATCCACGTTGGTTCTTTCGGTGGTAGTGAGGCGCGAAGGCAGCAAACTCTGACGATGATCCGTGAATCGTGTACCTGCCCGAAGTTATTCCCGGCATGCCCGGAGCCTGGGCTTTCTTGATACAGCTCAAGTACATTTCACGGAGCCGCGGCTGACCTTATAGAGCAAAAGTGTCAACACCCTGACTTCATCAGAACCGGGGCTCCTGCAAGTCTCGACTCTGGCGGCTTCCGCATCTTCCTGACTGCACAGCACTCCTGGTGATTCTGCCTCAACCTGCGACCTAGCAGGAAACAACTGCTCTGGCCTCCGAAAGCTCAAGAATGCTGGCGAACTGATCTGGATCGGAAGCAGGCGCCTGGCACGACGCGAGGCCCCCGCAATGGCCGGGCCATGCCCTCCAATGTCTGGCCTCGCCCTTCAGAGACCGCTCCAGGTAGAGCCCGTACAACCTCAAGCTCTCAGACTCTCAGACACAACGCTGCTAACCTCTGGGGCTCTCTGGCAGATCTCTTGAGGCCGCCGGGTCCGGGTCCCAGGCCTTCGTCCGGGCAAGGGGTCCGCGGTGAGCGTCAGGCGCCCGTCCTCCCAACAAAGCGACAAAGCGAAGCGACGAAGAAGACGAAGCCGTGTAGAGAAAGGCAGCGCGCGCGTGCGGCCGTGGTGCGGCCTCCACTTCCTCTTCCGTCTCCTTTAGCCCCGCCTGAGCTCAAGGAGGCCCCCGAGCCGCCGTTCGCAAGAGATACTTGCAGAGGAGCTGGCCAGCATCTGCTTCAACAGCGTGTCCGAAGCTTTGGTCAAAGCCATCATCTGGTCAAGCTGCGCACACTCCCCTCGAATCCCGCAAGGGACAGCACCGCTCCGTGCAACAACTCAAGCAACCTTTTGCCAAACGAATGCTAATCTCACTTGCGGCGCTGGTGCTGACGTCATGCCGCTTCGGGTGCGCTGTGAAATCCACCAACAAGGCATGAATTGGCGTGCCCGCATGCGGCGAGTCTGACGACTGATTCGGTATGCGAGGGCCTCATCCATGGTCCCCAAAGCCTTTGCGGCACTTGTACGCGCTTCCTCGCACGGCTTGTTTCCCTATGCTAGTGTCGGCGTTTGCAGAGCTTCTCAACGTGCGATGTAGTCCTTGCAGGCCACATTGTACATGGACCGCAGAATCTCCTGCAGAGCCTGCAGGCAGGTTGAGAGTGACAAGCAAACACAAGAACAGCAACTACAAACCCAGCGGGCCTGTCGGACACAGGTGAAGGTTGAAACACTGGAGAGGCCGATTTCCTGGCAACGCGGCATGGAAGCTTCATAACATACACCACATGTCTGACCACATGCTCAAGCAATTTAGCCACTCCGCGCAGCAGGCTACACAGACAAACTAACCGTTAAAGCGGTTCGAGGCGGCTTCGGCAGCCTCTCCACGAGATGCCAGCTTTGTTGAGAACTCCTTCAACTTTTCTGCCGCCACCGTGGAATCCTGAGCAGCGGGATTGGATGAAAATCAGTCTCCAGCTAGGCCAGTCTGAGATAACGTCCTTCAGACTGGGCAGCAGGGTGTCAAGCTCCTCGCTCGAAACAAGAGATGGAAAAAGGACCAACTGCAAGCATTGGTAGCTGCAGAGATGGTCTGCCTTGCAAGCCAATCTGCCGTCTGGCCTTGTGAAGAATTGGACCTGAAACGGCGGCAAAGGCGGCTGAGGCTGCTTTGTCCCGCAGCTGCAGAACTCCTGCGAGGTGGCCAGGACGAACTTGTATGACCGCTAGACACGACATCAACATAACACACAGCGGATCCACAAAGACGGGCTGGCCCTCTTTTTCAGAAACGATCTGTGGTCTGCAGATACTCCGAGCAGCGGAGAGCACCGAGAGCACCGAGAGCACGGACCAGCACCGTCTCGCGATCCAATGTCCGCTCGCAGCGCTCTTTCGAATGCGAGTCGGACACATGCCGCGCTGTCTGCCACTGCGCGTTCGACTCCTAGGCTCCACCTTCCGAAACTTCAGCCCGGCCAGACAGAGACGTGCCTTGCACCTGTCCACGGTGGCTTCTGCTCCAGACATCAAAGTTCGACTGCGAACAGCATGTCGTTGCCTTAGGAACCGCAGCCGGGCACCGCAACACCAGGCAACGGCGTCTTTACATCTAGTTTGCCCACTTGCTGTCCAGAGACCGCGGGCAAACAACCAAAGCACACAGAACAGCAATAGCAGCATGGCGCTTGCGTACAGGACCACCGAGAGACATCCTCAGAACATGTCAGGCAGTCGAACAAGAAAGCATGAGTTGGCAGCATCGTCGGCACCTTCATGTGTCTCAGCACCAATTTTGTTCGCCCGTGTTGGTTTTGCACCTTGGGCTCCACTTAACTGAAAGCTGAAGTAAACTCGTATGTTGCGTGTCGACTTGGCTTAAGTCAAGGACCGTTGTCCTTGACTTCGGAGCTTTCGGCATCATGAAAAAGCTCTGCAGTTGGGGCGAAGTCTTCTGGTGCGTATGAAGGTCTCTGGAAGCAGCATGAAGTAAGCCAAGACCTCAGCAAGGCGATAGTGGTGAGCTGCACAACGAGGAAGCTGTGACGATGACGGCAATCTCAGCCTGCTGCGGCCAAACAGGCTCATCACGCACTGGAAAGGCCTGCGAGCGGGCTGCGCAAAGTCTTCGCTTCTTTCCGAGGCTTGTCCGGCCGCGTTGCCCTGGCCTTCAGCCCGTTTGCCGCCGGGTCCGCTGCCGCCGCGGACCGGTGAATGGCAGCCTCGAGCTCTGCAACTTGCCGGCCGTGCGGCCAGAGGAAGGCGTAGGCCATCCTCAAGAGCTTCCCAGCCTCGCTTCATGCGGGTACTTCCCACGAGTCAACAGCTAGCATTTTCCCCTGCATCACGCCGAGGAACGTCAGGCTTCCAACGTTCCCCCACGCCACGATACCCACCCCGGATCTCCAAAGGAAGGTCATCGGGACGGTAGCCGAATCTGTTCAGCAAGGGCTGTTCATCTGTCTCCATGTCCTGGAGTTGCTGCGATGAACATCTGACCGTGGTCGCCATCTTTACAGCACGTGTTATGCGAGGTAATGCAAGGTGCATCCAAGATGCCACCTTCGACCGAGTATTCTCATCCACAAACCTCGCTCTGCTGGAGCAGATTAAACACACCGCCGGAGCAGAAGCAAGCTTGCAGCATCGAACTGCCACGACAAGGAGGACTGGTCAAGCCGGGGCACCACATAACCTGGCGCACCAGAGAGACGAAGGATGCAGGAACAGGATACACGATGGCCACTTTCAGCCGCTCCGGGTAGTTGTTTTGAAAAGCTGAAACCATCCTCAGATTGCACAGACGACCGCGGCCCAAAGAACGTCGCTTTAGCATCGCCCCAGCTTCCTCAATGCGAGCCAAGATTCACATGTGCCCATGCCACCGGAGGGGGGGAGCCGAACACCAAAGCACCTCGTTCCACGGGGTTAATACAAGCTGAACGAACTCTGTCAAGACTTTGAGGACGAGCTGCATATTTGATGCACACCTCGCTGCTCCATCGAATCGATATTGTCCTCGAAAAATCTGAGAGCTGCCAGTACCAAGGCAGCTTCAGACACCGCCTGGACACATCAAACAGATGCAACCAGAGCATCGCAACATGTATTCTGCACTGGACTGGACTTACAAGCAAGGAGCCTCAGTGGCAAAGCCTCCGAATAAAAAGTTGACGAGAAGAACCTTAGAGCAGAATCTCACAGCCAGCACACAAAAGAAGCATACAGACAGCACGCACAGAAATGCGCACGATCTCTGCAAGGATGCAGGAGTAAAGAATTTTCAAAACCAACACTACCTACATGACGGACGGCCATGCCAAAGCTAGAATCCTGAAACTTGAGGAGGCTACTGCAGCATACTACAGCAATGGCAACGACATGCCATCTTCCAGCTTACATCTCCACAGCTCAGTTTTGGTTTTTTCATCATGTGGCAAGCCAGCCACTTGACTTGCATGCGCACAGTGGGAACCTCAATGGCTCAAGCCGTGCTCTCTGAATCCCGTCTTCGCATGGCATAACATTTTCTTGTCGGGGTCATTTGTCTCGAGCAGTTTCAAGTTTGCTTTGTCACGGCCGGAACCTTGTTTTTGGTGTTCAGCTCTGTGGTGTTGATCATTGTCTTGATTCGAGCCTTGCGCTGATTCATCCTCCAGTGCTGCTCAGAAAAGCTGGCCTTCACGTACTCCGCGCCTTGTTCTTCTTTGATTTGGCACAGCCGCTTTTTTGTTATCCTGTCCGTCTTCCGGTTAGCTAAGCAATGCCTTGGGACTGCAGAGTCCGGCACGGTATTTGTCTTGCATTTTCGCGTTCTCCACAGCATTTCCGGTTGCGAATCCCTTGGAGTTGTGCGTGGAATTGTCCCGCTGCATGAGCACCATGGGCATACGCAAATGCCATTTCGCTGACCGCTCAAGTCAACACCGTTGCACGCTTACGGATACTCGTCCTTGCCAGCTGTGCTCGACCACGTCGGATATACGTGATGCACAGACAACCAAAAACACTAGCCCCTACCTGGCTTCCACGGAATCTCCATTTAGCACCTTTGCGAGAAGGTGGTTGCATGTTCGCCACAGCTTAATTTTCCGTCCGAGGTCAACAACGAAAGCGGGCCAAGTCTGTGCATCACACGGCCGTCATCCACGGGTGACAGCGATTTGCCGAAAGGCGCTTGGCATGGGGCAACATGCCCATACATGCCCCAGTCGCGATCACTGTGCTAGAAAGCCATTCATGCATCCGGCTGCTGCGATTGCGAGTCGATTGCAAGCCTTGCCCGACTCTCGAGTAAAGCAAAGTGCCCCAGAGCCTGACTGTCAATGAGTCATGCCCTAGAGTCGATTCATGATCCACTTCTTCTGTGTGGAGTCCTAGAGAGCTCCGCTGCCTTGCAACTTTGTTGATTCCAGTTATCCCTTTCCGAGCCAAAATGCCGGCCCCTGACCTTCCAGAACCCATCTTCTTCATTGCCAGGGGCACCAAACTAGGGCAAAGATAAGTCTAAAAAACATTGGAGGAATTGAACAGGTGATATCACTTTCTTGCAACGGCCTGCAGAGAAACAGCCAACTGGCCTTGGCCTGTAGTTCGGAAGAAGGTATCCCGAAAACTTACTTGTGATTGTGACATAGATACCGAGGCCTAACTGGCGAGCTAGCGCAGCTAGCGACAGCCAAGGCACGGGACAACCATCGCTGTCCTCTCGCAGGCGGCGGAATCGCAGATCTTCATCAAGAAGTTGGGCGGTCAAACCTTCCCGCGGAATCGGAAAGGTCTTCTGCCTGCGCTGATCAACGTGATCGGTACACACAGACCAAGCTCAAGCTTTTTGGTTCTCCTGGCCTCCATGCCAGATGGTCCGCAAACCTGAGTCTCAGTATGTGGCCGTTGCAATTTTTTCGCGTGCCGGCAGGGGGCATCTTCTTTGCCGCTTGGACATCGCCCTTCCGCGCCGTCAGGAAGCGACAAAGTGATGCCTCGGTCCCTGCCGGAGACCTCAGCTGCGAGCCTCCTCTTTCACCGCAAGGTCACCTTGTCCCAAGTACTCCCGCCCCCACCTGTCCCATGCCACCGTCTCACCATTTGCAGTCTTGTAGAGGGGCAGCTGCAAGTGCTCCAGTTCTTTCCGAAGGCGGTGTACACCTGCGGTCCGTCGTTTTGCCAAATCTCATGGCGCAGTACACTTGTCTCAAGGCCTTGGTGGAGCGTGGATCTCCAAAAGTCGTCTCTGCCATGCGAGGACATTCATGGCAAGCGCGGCTGTTGAGGCAAAGACAAGCTGCCACGAAAATAGAAGTTTGTCAGGTTCGTTCCACATGCTTTGACTCTGATCTTACGTACCATATTGCAGGCCCTCGGAAGATGAGATGCAAGCAGTCCTCTTGCTTGCTCCAAAGTGGCCTTGCCGTCAGAAGTCAAGACTCCGTCAGCAAGCTGTGCCTTGGCTCGCTTTGCAGTGTGGGAAGTATGGCTATGGTCTCCTTAGTCTCTTTGTGCTCATCCTGAGGAAGCCGTGAGAGCCACGGGCTAGGACGAAATCTTCATGATGGACAGGGCTAGCGACGCATGGCTGGAAGAGACGGACGACATTTAATCAGATACGTCAGTGTCTAGATCTCCGCGAAAATGCACGGTCCGCGTTTCCGGAAATGAGAAAAAAGGCAGCACTCACGTGACGGCTGTAGACATTATTTGTGGATTAGACGCGGTGCCTAGACAGTCCAAAGCACAAATGAGGTGTAATGTTGCTGCTGGCTCCACAACATCCTCGACGATGCGGCACACAAATGCCCATGCTAGACTTGCAAGAATCCACATGTAAATGCTGCCCAGTATTTGCGAAGAATCTGGAGACCCTGTTGAAGCCAACAAAGAAGCCCTGCAGCCAGCATCAGCAGCATTAGAAGAGACTCGTACCAAAACCCTGGCAAAAGATGTCACAAGGCCCAAAATCTACCCCAAAGAACCGAGAGGTACGTTGTGGCAACGGGGTTCCGGCCAGCCCCCCGATGTGGGATAGCAAGATAACTCAGAAAGCCCTCGAAGACTCACGCACACCCCGCCCACAAAACCCTCCTGCAGTATCCCAGGCTCACGATTGAACGAGCATTCGTGACAAGCTGTCAACTGCCGTGGACCCAATGGCTTCAAACAAAGTGAAACCATACGGTGACATCCGCTAGGCAGAGGACACAGGCAGTTCGACAAACTTGCAGCACCCAGTCCTGGGGGCCCTGCCTTTGCGATTTCCTTGTACCTACAAAACAGGTCTGGCAAGGCAGCGCAGCATCACCCACGGGCCATCCTCACCAGGTGCTCCATGCACCGAGAGAGAGGCACGTGTCCAAATTCATCCGCTCTGCTTCTTCACCAGCTAAGCCTGGCGAGCCACCGGTGTCGTGAGAACGTAGAGAACGTAAACATCTCTAAGACCCGACAAATCCGCGGGGCTTACCGAAGGCCATCTGTGCTCCTGCCAGTGCTTCACCCGTGTGGGCATCGACCTGACATTGATGCATGCAGTTGCCGCAGCGATAGTAATTTGGCATGGGTGCCCGTCCCGTTCTGACTTCCGAAAACGAGCGCAAAATTTTCGTCGCAGTGGCAACCACCCTCTTCGGAGTGAAACTCAGTCAGCTCAGGTGCTCAGTCCGTCAGTGCTATGCTTCTACTGTTGATATTCAGCAGAAGACTTTGCATTGGCTTTCAGATGGATGCCGAATGCAGAACGACCGTTTCAGGTCAATTACGTAGAAAAACAGGCTGACCATTGAAAAGCATCGACAGTGCATAAGAATAGCTGACCTATTGATAAATCACACATGATCTGGTATCATTTCGACTATGTGCATATTTCCATCGGCGTTCCTCTACCTTGGGAACTGCCGGGCACCACAACCAAGCTGAAGCGCAAGGTCAGCCTTACATTTTACAAGTACATACATTCTGTCTGGGCATTGGCTTACTCACATTTATCCTGGCCGAGCATGGACTTCTGATGCAGCGCCGGTTCGATCAAGTGCAGCTTCTCTTGAAGGTTCGCAAGCGTCAAGTTCTGTTGTGACTCGCCATCGACATGAGTGAACTGGCTCCGAACTCCTCGCAGTTCCCTCATCGCTTCACGCAAGGCTTTCATCTTCGGATGGTTCTCAGGGTCCCACTTCTTGTTGAGGTCCTCTTCAAGCTTCTGCAAGTTCTCGTGCTCTGCCTGCTCGTCGGGACTGCCGTCCTCCTGGAGCCGTCGGTGGTAGATAGGCAGGACCTTCCTGGAGACGAAAGTCAAAGTCGCGAACCCGGGGACCATCAAGCCACTCATGCGAATTTGTGCCTCTGCGAGCAACAGACCTGCAGGGACCACAAGAGGAGCGTTTGCGCATGGTTTTTGAAAGAGATACAAGTGGCCACAACAGACTCTACAAAAACCTTAGCTGCGAGCCGTCGCGAGTGCCGAGGAGGTCGAGCAAAACGTTCTCGTCGGCCGTTGAGTTCAGCTCTCCCTGAACCCACTCGCACTTCACTCCGAAGGAGTCCAAAGCCTTTGAGCAAAGCTTCACAAACTCCACCTCCCGACCTGCAAGATGAGCTCTGTCTGACACATGTCTTCCAAGTTGCAGCATGCATACGTAAACTAACTTTCTTGCAAGGGGCCAGCGATGACGGCGTAGTCTGCAAGCACGAGCGCCGCCGGAACTCGAGTCATGCTCTCATGGTCTGCGCACGACACTGCGATGCCGGATCCCCATGTGGCAATCTGAGATGCCGCTGAGAACATTCCTGTGGCGCTGGATCCGCAAAGGGTGGGGAGCTGAAGCAAGTCCGGACAGTGACTGACCAGCTGCTGAACAAAAGTCGCAACTTGAGAGATCCAGGCGATGGCGCCGGCAATGTCCATTGCACAGGCTGCCTCCGGCACGCCAGTGAGGTAGTTGTACGGCCCATAGCGGACGTTCTTGCTGCAGAAGTCCAGGTTCACTGCTTGCTGGATGAAGAAGATTGCATCGTAAATGTTATCGACAATAAACCCAACATCCACAGCACACTGAACTCCCATTCCACCAATTCCACTCCCGATGAACAAACGGCGACCAAGACTATATCTTTGGCGTCCTGCCTGGGACATCATAGGCCCAGGGATCTGAACACAGTCATCATCGATGCATTTGCGCTCAGCCTGGCGGAATCCTGGACAAGAACAGCAGACACAACTCAACGCAGTGATCGCAAACACAGATTGCAGCAGATTATCGGCCTGCCAGAGGATATTCCTTGCAAGATGTCATTGCCAGGCTGGTACTGGCAGCAACTTCACCGAGTGCGCTGACAATACCGGAGACTGCCGCGCCGCACTCCGCATTGGCCTAAGATGAACCAGGCCATTTTTGCAATTTGCAGGGCTATGTAAGACAGCAGCGGTCCATAAGCTAGCAGCTAGCATCATGTCCGTCTAAGCCCCTCAATGAATACTCCTCTTCGGACCCAGCCGGTTGTCTGTTTGGTCGTTGGTGTCTTTGGCCGATGCCAGACTAGACAGAGTGTGGTGCCGTGGTGCCCCGCCAGAGACATGTTAAAGGCGCTGGACTGGGTCGAGTGTGGGTTTCGCTTTCGTCCCTACGATCCATATGGTATGGCCCGGGCTCTGACATGTGTTGACAGACTTTGGGCTGGATTCGGCAAAGGCAAAAGGTAATGGAGCTTTGGGGTTTAGTTGCGTACTCAACCCCGTGCATGCCCCAGCATGCATACTTGTAGCATTTCAAAGTTGCCACACATGACATGTAACCAGATGTGACATCAACTTCTCGACAGCTCGGTGCAGAAGTCAACTGAGCTGGAGACACTCGGAAGAACACCACAACTGGAAACCGCGTTGGACAACCAGGTTGCAGCACTTCCAACCATCTCGACCAAAGTCTCGGAATTTACTTGACAAGCAAACTCGCCGACATCGTTGCGCGGCTCGGGGCAAGTATGAACAATTGATTCAATGTCAAGGGAAGTGCCACCAATGCTGTCAATCGTCTCCACGGCATTGAACACGCAGAAGGCTTGACGGAAGTTTTGTTGTTGCTTCAGGTCGGGGTCTCTGATGCCCGCATACGAGTCAACATTCGTCCTGGCATGTGCATCCAAGACTTTGGCATTCTTGTAGAGCTCCGCATTCTGAAAGTGGAAGTACGGGTTGGGAGTCGCGAGGGAGCGAGCATCCGGCGGGAGCTTGGCGAGCTTGTGGTGTTTGCTCTCTGTCTTGGCCGCCTCCAACGCCCTCGCAACCATTTCGTCCGCCTCCGCTCTCGACTTGACCTGACATTGCAACATGTGAGCCGGGGCTGGGGAACCTTTGATCTGTCAAGGCCGATGCACCTCACGGAGCTTTTTCGCTGCAGATTCGATCTGGCTCTCTTCAGACAGCTGAAGCGGAGACGCCTCAGCTTCAGTTCCACAAAACTTCGCGCCTCCAGGCACCTTCCTTGGAGCCGCACCTGGAAGAGTGTGTGGACCGGAATCTGACACGGGTCGGCCATGAAGAGCACCGTAGCACCGAGGGCGAGAACCCCCATCGAAATCCCGGCAACCTGGTGTAACGACTTCCGACAGGTTTAGTCTGGCGAGGTTTAGCATGAGTGTGTTCGCAATTGCCAATGCATGGCGGGCTGGGAACCTTCCACCGGCAGAGACGCACCGTCTGAACTGCTGGCTGGGTGGTTAGTTCTTCTCCCATCAGCGCCTCCTCTGCATCCTCAGTTCAGATGCTCTGGCGTTTGCTCTACATGGCCTACAAAGCCTCAAGCAAGAGTTCGCCAAGCCGTGTCCTCTGCCAGGACAACCATGGCGGCATCGCGCGCGCTGGCCTCGATCCATGCGAGGTGAACGTCGGCAGAACATCTGCCAAAAACAAAGAGCACTGCATGCTACGAGCAGTTCTGATTGCAGTTGCTGGACTCCGGCAGCATCGGAGGGTATCTGACCATATTCCATGGCTGGCAAAAACAGTCGACCTACGAGATCCAGCAGACGTCCAACTGACGTGTTTGAGCCAGTTCTGCCGACGTATCGGTTACAAGGAGCAGTGAGCTCTACACACACACAGAGACGACGACATGCACATCACACTGGCTGCAAGCAGCAAGTCGCCTTGTCGACCACCGCACTAAGGTTCTGCCAGGGCTCGGATTTTCTTCTGCATATAGCATCGTGTTGTCACAAGCACCCCGTCCTGCTGGTACAGCGCTCGCGAGACTGCCTGAACTCGCTTTGTCGCATCCTTGTCCGAAACCTTCAGCACCTTGGAACGAGTTGCACCAAGGACTGGAACTCGCGACAGATAAAGCTCTTAAACAATCAGCAAGACTTCGTCTGGTCGCCTGACAAAGCCTTCCCATCTCATACCGTGATGCCTCCTGGCCAAGGTTCGCAGCGTAAACACGAAAAACAACGCTCTCAGAACATTCAATGCAGTAGTAATTACTTCAGTGCAGCACTTCCGTGCGAGGTACACCTTGGGCCAGTTTCGGTGTCGGGTTGCATCCTAGCATAAAGGTTTCTGCTTAGATAGAGACAGGACGATGCGGCCATGGCGATTATTGAACATCGGTATATGCCAGACTTTCAAGCAAGCAAAAAAGCAACTTGCTGAATGATAGTGCTGGCCTGGGAGTTGAGCAATGATGTCTGGGACGAATGCGCCTAGACTCACCCTCATTACAAGGTGAAGCACAATCTGAGCAGAGACCGAGTCCACCAGAGTCCACAACATCTTCCACAGTAGCCAACGACCAGACTACAGCCCGAACAGGAAAGCCCGTCCTCGGGTTCCTCATCTGCAAAAGCTCGTTGCGAAAGGAAAAGAAGCTTGTCCATAGCAATGCGCATGGGCTCGCCCTGTGCGATGCCGAATGCTTAACGGGTGGTGTCCGGTTAGGAAGATGCTGGATCCGCCTCTAGTCCCGAATACCCTTTCGAGACCAGCAGCTGGGCAGCATGCCTGGATGCACACGACAAGTTTTGCACGTGCCAGTCCGCTTACGCACGTGAAGCTCGGGCCTGTGGGCATTCCCAACCACGATGCCATCCAGATCCAGCACGGCCTCGACACTTCATGCAAGAAGATTCCGGGTGCAATCACGAAGGAAGAGTGACGCGCGGTTCGACGACATTGAACCGAAGTGTCTAAAGAATCAGCACTCAGGCCGCAACCTTCAGTCTCTGCAGTGTTGGCAAGTCGTATGGATCATGTTCAGGACCATCCAAAAGGCTCACCAGCAACTCCTGTGGCAGACATGTTTGTCCACGGTCTGTCCCTTTAGCCAACCCAAGCCTCGTATATCTTCTGCAAGGAGCTGTCCTCCCAGCTTTCACCTTTGTCAGATCGCTGCAAACGGCGTGCCAAGCGCACCCCACTGACTCTCTTCTTGCAACTTCTGCTCCGTCTATGAGCTGGACTGGAGCGATCATTGGCTGGAACCCCAAATCGCCTGATCAGCGGTGGGGTGACGCATACCCAAACTCAAAAAGGGTGCATGCTTCAAGGGCAGTTGCATGTCCTGCGCTGCCGATGGATGAGGCTTCGCAGCTCTTCGGTTGGCATGTCCTGCAGAAGGCACAGAAATTCTGCCAAAAGCAATCGCACGCTGCAAATACAAAACCTTTTGACTTGCCATGTTCACATGCAGGGCCTCTTGGATATGAGTTGAAAGGAGTCGAGCTATAGCACAGCTCGCAGCATCCTGCAGGAGCAAAGGCTTACGATGGATATTCGACGAAGGTTCCAAGGATGGAAAGGAGAAGGCGCCTTCTTGCCTTGCTTCAAGAATGCTCCAACAAGTGTGCCTCCACCAGAGCTCAGCTTCGAGGTGCCAAGCATGTTTACTGTCAGGAGCCACAGGGCCTAAGAGGCAGCCCAGCGCACTTGCCAGGCCCTGAGCAAGCCGTGTGTGCCTGCAGAGCAGCTGTACTATCATCTTCGAACATCTGACTGATGGCCGGTCCGGCCTTGGGCAAACAGCAGCAGCCAAAGCGGCAAGCAGCGGCAGCGCCGTGTACACGCTCAGGATCTCAGCGCTTCGCAATGTGTGGTAACAAGCCATGCCCGCAGGGCCCGCGGCTTGATAGAACCCTTGAAACGGAACCTTACAAACAAAATCAGGGATCCCTTATAAAGCCTTTAAGAATCAGCCTTACATATCTCTGAATGGAAGCCTCTGTTCCTGGAGGCTTCCCTCGGAAGCAACACACAAGAAGGCCCTAAACCCTAAGACCCTAACCTTCCTGAGGTCCTAAACCAAAAGAACCTCTGTAGGACCTACCTTTTCAACCAACACAGGTTTTGCAGGGTCCAGGTAAAGATTGAGCCTGAACCACAATTGTTGCATCCTGATTGCATTCGAGAAGCTGCCATCGGAACATTACTAAAGCATAATTCATGTAAGTATAACATATGTACAGATATAATACAGAACAGAATAGAATAGAACAGAACAGCATAGAAAAGAATACGAAAACGTAAAATAGTACAAAATGATGCTATATGTTATTATATGATATGATATAATGAGGTATGATACAAAGATATAATGTAGCATGTAGCATAATATAGTATAATATAACATAATCTGATATAGCCTAGTACAACATACTAAAATGAAACGTAAGTAGCATGATGTAATGCACATAATACAATATGATAGTATAAAACATAGAAGTATGATACTGCTTGAAATGATGTAATACAATTTCACTATCAACTTGAGCGTTGATCTCTCGGCAGAACCAATGTCGGAGTCCGCCGGCTTTCACAGCTCTCGGGGCAGCACGGGCATGGGCACGGCGGAAGGAAGATTGGCCAGCACGCGGCCAGCCAAGTTAGACCTGGACATGTCTGGCCGGATTACCCCAACTTCCTTCTTGCAACAGCAATCCGCAAAGGAAAAGTCGATTCTGCTTCCTTTAGAAAGTGACGCACTGTTTCCTGACAAAATGAAACCTTGGGTACCCCAGCGGCAGGGAAAGCGCGTGAACGAAAGTGACCCTTCCGGTTCCCTGTACGAGATGGGCTTCGTAGTTGTGATCCTTTCGGACCACGCAGATATCTGTGCGCCCCATCGCTAGAGTCGGTCAGAAAGCTGACCTTGATTTCAACCGTCTCGTCTTTCCACCCTGTTGGCGTCCGCGGCCTTAGACTGCCTCGCAAGTATCTTATGCACAGAGGGCCTTTCGATGACGTACGAGGTGCACGCAAACAAACTCTCAACCTTCATATATGTCCGGCATAGGTTTGCGATTTCCAGTTTTGGGTTGGCATGCCTCGGCCACCTCGCCGAAACAAGGAATTGAAGTCTACAGCGGGTCCGTATACTCTTCGTTTCGATGCAGCCATACACACTCTCTCACAACCTACTAACATTCCGTGTCTGAACCACTCAATGCTGAGGCTGTGGATGGCTCAGGCAAGGAATTGCAGCAGCGTGACCCTTTGTCTCTCTTCTTCCTTGCCCAACACCCTCCTCCTCCCTGCCGGGAGGGCGAAGATAAGTCAATCATTGATCAGGACATGCATCACTCAAGCAGTTTCAGCTCGCTGCTGCAGCTGAAACGGTCACAGGAGAAAGATGAAAGGTCACGTGAAAGCTCGTTTTGGATTGCAGAAAGAGCGACACACTCGAAAGTTGAACCAGAAAGTGCGTAGCAAGATGAGTCGCACACACAGTCTGACCTCCTGCTTGCAGGGAACCCCCAACCGATTGGCGCGGTTCAGGTGCAGTGACAGCAGGATGGACGACTATACTGTAAGCTCATCATTCTCACCGGAACCACTTGCACAGTCACAACCGAGGCAGCCTCTGGAATAGATCTTCAAAAATTCCTGCAGCATCCAGAGTCTTCGGCGCCTGGCACAAAGCTTTCGACAAAGTCATGAAACCGCGGAATGTGGCACCAAACCATGCACGAACATCTGACACAAGCAGCAAAGAGCATTGCTCTGCCTTTTTGGCGACGGCTTTACATCACAGAACAGTCTCCAGTGGGCTGTGTATTTGGTGTGCAACCATAGTGCCAAGGCTGCCAGGGCTTGCCACAGACCCAGCACCAGTGCATAGAACACTGTGTGCAGGTCATATGATTGCAGCCCATCGTGCGTAAGGTGCGAACTCCACAACCTGGGCATGCTTTCGCCCCGGCCCAATGACGGTCCTTTGACCGCTGGGCCTCTGGCAATGCTGCATCGAACTCCAGGCAGGACTTCCCCTCGTGGCTCCTTCCATGCATCTCCCACGCCTCACCGGCGCATTGACATGATTCCTAGGAACCTCGCATGGCAAAAAAAACAATCTAACCCGATCCCGCCAAGTATTCACACCAAAAGCCCTCAGCACCTGGGAGCACAGAATGCAGTAGTCGATTTTGCAGCTTGGGCAGCATACACGGCGTCCGTCACGGCCGTCTTCTGTCGGCGGCGCATACAGGCCCACATGGCGACCAAGTGACCAGGCACGCGGATCCCAACGGCTGCCAGGTTCCTGCAAAGGAAGCGAAACACCGCAACACGAGCAAGCTCCACAATTGCCAAAGCAAACCGTCACAACTGCTTTACCGAAGCTTCAGCCTGTGCAGACTTGGAGCGTCTCAGAGCCTTCGGAAGGACCCACATGTGATTGCATTCGCTTCCTGGGCAATGAATAACATCTTCCATTCGCGCCGCGCAGCTCGATGCCAGGCCGCTTGAAAGGCACCAGCGCTCATAAGCCCTCTTTTTGCGTCGAGTCTGGCGTCCAACCACATCCAAACCCTTCCAAGACCATTGACGTCTCCGCAGCGAGGCATACACGAGAACGTCTGGCAACACAGTACTGCTACTGCACAGCATCGGACAGGTCATCTGAGGACGTGCGTCATCGATGACACTCTCTGCATGGCTCCACACGCATTCCCAGCAGATGGACTTCTTGCAGCATGGAAGCTTAGCCAAACACCAAGGATTGTCTTCCAGAGAGTTGGCACATATCGGGCAGTCGATGTTCTGTACATTCGCAACATCGAAGCCCAAGAATGAAAGAAGTTGCCTTGACCAAGTCCACTGTTGCCAGAAGTCAAGCCACTCCTGACGAAGCGCTGAGCTCTTCAGCAAGCGATTTGTATACAGAATGAGACCAAGTGCTGTAAGGTGCGGCATCGCCGCTTGAATCATCCGACCAGAACAGAGGAATAACGAGACAGCAAGAGACGTGAAAGCTCTGCTGAGCGCCAGTAAGCCCCGGCAAAACAGCACCCCAGCGGTGACGCCACTCAGCAGTGCCGCGCATAGGGCAGCAAGTTGATGAAGCTGAGTCTGGCCCCGTCGTCCATTTGCTTCAGCCACGCGCCCGAGTTGATCAAACTGATCGACCACGTGAAGTAGATGAAGTCTTCCCAAAGCCAGAAAGTGCTCCGTGACATGTGCCATGTACACTGGCCAGGGCATATCCATGCTTGACACGTCTTGGTGAGATCCAGTCTCAGGGCTGTTCAACTGTGGGAAAGAAACTAACTTATCTTATCCAACCCTGCTGCACTGGTGGGAAACATTCTGTCCAATCATCTGTATGAGCATGAGTTGCCAAAAGCGACGGGCAAAGCCCACATGAATTCCTTCACTCTCAGCCTTCACTCGTTGTGACTGAACCCTTAACCAGGACCGCAGACCCTGGTTGCAACAGCAGAGGCAGCGCGGCTGCCCGCCGTCCGCCTTGCCGGGGAGTGCCGTGGTTTTTTTGTTGCACTGCGTTTGTGATTCGACAAGCAAGGGATACCTCCAAATCCAGGCAGTTCATATCAGAAATGCTCCAGACTACAGATTGCCCGACTAGCTAACTTCTAGATGCCGACCTTTGTCTTGGAAGCTTCCGCCGGCTGCGCACAGTGGCACACCCATGCGTAACAACCGGGAAGTCGTGTGTTTTTTCTCGCAGCATGACATGTCTCGAATCGTCCACACAGCTCTGCACTGCTGAAACATGGTGACAGCGCCTGTACGCGCCTATGCGTTTTTAGCGATTTCAGAATGAGGCGTTTTGCATGCATGAAACCACAGCGAGAGCGCAATCTCACAGAAAATTATGGTTCAGGCAGGTGCGCGAAACACTAGAGGCTGGAGCAAACTTTGGGCCTAACTGCGTTTTCGCTCGGGTTTTAAGCTCATTTTTGAAGAGACTGCAGAACAAAACTTTATCTGAGAGAGAGTTTTTGCTTAAAGTATTGACTTGTCCTAGGTCTTAGGTTAGACTTAGGGTTACGGATTGGGTTTATGTTTGGTTGTACAAAGAAGCGAAAACGCTGCAAATACCGGTGTCTCGCGCATGGGCGCAATATGAATAACGTTCTTATCCCCCCCACCCCCTCCCCCACACCCCCCACCCCAATACCCTGAAACCTGCAAAAACGCATAGGCGCGTACTGGCGCCGTCACCTGAAACATGCTGAAACCTGTATCCTTTTTAGCCATTTGCGCCTCTTTGCCGTGATGCCCGCGGCCAAGGCCGTGGCACCGGCGGCAAGCACCGACGGCAAGCCTGCTGCTCGGTTTTGCTCCGAATGGCTTGTCCAAGCCACTTGGGTCATGCTGTCTTTTTGCACACCCGCCTCGTTCTGGAGCTTCTCGTGTTGCCCGCCCGAGCTTTGGGGCAAGCCTGCGTGTCAGGCAAGGTCTGCGAGCTGGCCCGTACGAACCCATCCTCCACATGCACATACCGGGGGCATGTTCTTGCAGGAATCACGGCGTTGGGATGTTGACACCTCTGAACTGTTGGCACCTTTTTTGCAACGGAGAGACACTGGGAGCGACTTCTTCTGCTGCCTCCCAACCGGATCTTGCACTCGTCGCACTCTGGACCTTTGACATGCACGCCATGGTTTTGCAGGCTCTCTACACCAACAACTTTGCCTGGCAACAGGCAGTGCCAGCGGCGCAGGCCCTGGGTTGGAGGCCTTGCAACCCGTTACTGCTGGAATGCTCAATCATTGCATTAGAACAAACATGCCAGTGCTGCCTCCACGAAGAGAGCCATGGCGGCTGGCACAATAACGTTGTTTAGAGAAGACTTTAGCTGTTGGACAACTGTCGAGAACTTGGATGCTACTGGAAGCAGACTTACTTGCGTCTATTCAACTCTGCGAAGGTCCGAGCATAACATCCTACGTCGTTCACGTGACATGCGCAAAGAGTAGAGCCACACTTCCACCATTGCTGACCTCTGCCTACTGTGCAACTGCTGCAGCATGAGAGAACATTCGAAAGGCGAACATACAGAGAAAATCAGCATTTGTCAGCTTGCCGTAATCACCGCAATACCGACAGAACTGATGCAGGATTATCCGATGCAGGAGGTTCCTTGGCCCCACGACATACTAGCCGACGGACCCTGCTTCATGCCGATCATCAAACGCAGCGTGGTCAGCCATGTTCAAACCCATCGCGGTGCAGTTGAGACTCAGCGATTGCCCACATGGCCCACATCACCAAGCGCTCTGGCAACCCGGTTACCAGGCTGAAAGCACAGCTGAACCAGCATCTGCAAACGTATTGCACGCTACTCTGAAGACTTTCGCAGCCCAATCACACCCTGGCTCGCAATGAAAGCCCCAAGTTAGTCAACCTCTGGATGAGTGTGTCGGCCGACATCGATCATTGCACGAGGGCTTCTAAACCCAAGGCGACCATTCATGTGTCAGGTGAACCCAGCTGATCCACAAGCGAGCCAAAGTCCGGCAGTACAAACAAGTAGCCCACAAGACTGTCTTTTGTTTGCCAAGGCCAGCATCTTCTGTCGACCTCTTTGGAAACGAGTCTAAGATCCTACCTCACATTGGCTAGCCACTAGCAAATCTTTTGCTCAGCATGGCCTCATATAGAGGTACCAATACCTGCGTCTCCGTTCCTGGGTTGAGTCTTTCACTATGCACACAAGTCCACCTTCATGAGAATCAGATGCATACAAGTCAGTGTAAGCCGTCTGCGAGTAGCCACCTTGATGCTGTTGCTACCAGGACCTGGTACCAAGCATGTCCCGTCAAAGCTCGCCGACGTCTTCGATTCGTCGGATGTCTTGAGCATCGAGCTGACGGTGACTTCGGAAAGAACCGTGCCTCACACTGCATGCAAATCTGGAACATTGAAGCTCATAACTTTTCGAAAAGCTTGACTGACGTGCAACCGAGTGACAACTATTCACTGTCTGCGCTGATGTGTACAGCAGCACTGAGCCATCGTCAACCTGCAGTTCTTTGGCAGCGTGCTTCATAACTCCTGTGCCCGTCGTAGTTATCCAAATGCCTGCCGCTGCGCGACATAGTGGACATTATCTAGGGCAAGCCGGCTTTTCACCTGTTCGCACGAATGGCCAGTGAAGGGCTGGAGGAGAAGAAGGAGAAGCTGGGTCTGAAACCGACTCCGAGTCCGTTGGTCTGTCCATGCTAATCACGTGGACTTTTTGACCTGCTTCGCCCACCTGTCCACAGACGTTAAGATCCCTTGAGCACTTCGGCTGTCCGTGCAACTGGGACGGACCCGCTGCCACACTGGAGTGAACTCCTCCCGGGTTAAGGCGGCGTTCTCCAGCAAGACTGCCTCGGCAAAAAACGACATGCAACAACTGGAAGTCTCCTCGCAGTCACGACCAAATTTCTTGATGGCTTAGGGCGGCACTGACAGATCGAACTGCAAGTGGAAATAGAAAATGTCGAGTGATGTTTTTATCGCAACCTGCCGGTCACGAAGGTCACTTAGTGCCACACTCACGACCTCAGGCACAACCCTTAGGCCTGTAGTAGAAGGGGCTGGGTTGGTGGGGTGTTGCCTGCCGACCACTGACAGGGACAAAGGCATGAATGACTCCATGAGTCCATCAGTGCCATCACAGCTGGGCGCATCGCTGGGAAGTTGGCCGGGGGCCATGGCTACAGAAACCTGCTGAGCAAAGCTGCACGAAGGCGCAAAGCGCACGCTGACATCTTGAGATAGTTCTACCTGAGCGAGCCTCAGCAGAGGATCCCGGACCTATGTCTGGACATGCTAGCCTTGGTTGGATCTGGAATCGTAAATGCCGTGATGTAAATCAGGGTCAAGATCCCGGCTGCTCTTTGGGAGCGAAGCCAAATGGATTCTTGTTCACCTGTCTCAGCAACGACAGAAACCAGAACAAATGACAACGACCTGCCGTCTGACGTGTTAGCGTAAAGGCGGCAATTAACAGTGAAGATCATGCAGCTGAGACGTATCAGCCGGTGGCGATGCTGACACTGCACACTGGGTATTGCCCTGTTGCGTGCGGGCCTGGATGGCGAAGCCATTCATTGTTGAAGGGCTGCTATTGGAGAACGTCATCAGAAGAGTCGGAATGCCCCTGACACTGCTGCAGAATTTGCACACTTGCGATCACTCCGAGTACAGTCTCAAAACAGGCCTTTGTCTGACGAAAGCTGCAGAGACGGCGAAGCCCTGATTGCCATGCTGCCCTGGACACTACCATGAAGCTTCGCAGTTGCAGAGAGACTTGCAGTAGCGAACAAGCCGCCTGGTTGTGTTGGTGGCAGCACTGCCACTTTCTGAACCGCCTGTGCTGGCGCCTGGTGCACGTCAACGACATCTTGCCATGTCACTGTGTCCGTGGCGTTTCCGGGATTCTTGCATTGGTGGTTCCAGGGCTGTCGTCACCGACACCACCGAGGTCAAGTAGGTCCAACCTATCTGCAATGTGATGCCAAAACGCATTTCTGAACCTAAGCGCTGGGCGCGATGCCCACCACCTCCTGCAGAGGTTCCATTCCTGCCAGCAACGTGAGAAAGATTCGAGTAGCCCGTGCATCACTGCAAAGGAAAGCTGAGCCCAAACATGCCCCTGCTTTGGCATGCCGGCCTGGAGGCATCTGGCCCTCGCTCCAGCTCCTCCTGGACCTGAAGAATCTCGTTGCTCAGGCGCTCAAGCGAAACTGCTGTGCTCGGCAGCACAAGGCCTCCCTCCGCCTTGCTTGTCGATCCTCTTCATCGAAGTCCTCGTCCTTCAATGCTGCCGTGCTACCCAACTGGTACACATCACACACGCCATGCAACTATTCTTGAACGGCTTACACCTTCGACAGGGCTGTGCGGAGACCGAGTTGGGTAGCAACTTCGCTGAACCCACCAATTTGGACAAACAGCACGGAAGCTTCAAAGAAGCAGATCTTCAAGTAGGACAGATCATGGCACGATACTCCAATTGAAGAATATGCGCAGGCTGACTCGGGCTTGGACCGACAAAGTGCAACACTTCACCACATTCAGCTATTGAGCCGCAGGAAGACAGTTATGCCAGAACATGAAAACGTCAAGAAGGAACCGTCCTGGGCTGCTTTGTCATCTACTGACGTGGTTGTCGCCAATGTCAGCCTGTGGCTCACCCCGATTGAAGCTCTTCTGCTATCGGAATGGCAGCTCAACGGGTCCACCTGGTGACAAACTCCTCTGCGTACTTGTGGTACACCTGATGCAAGGTGTTGTGTCGCTTGATAACTCCGCAGTCCATGCGGGAAGCCCAAGACGTCTCAATTTGACATGCCACTCAAGATTCAAAATCTCAGGTCTGCGGCACTGCTCATCAATGACAGCTCGCTGGACAGCTTGTCAAGCAAGTTCTTGTCCAGCGACTGTCAAGCGAATGCTCGGAATGTCGCATGTTCCTGGCAAGCCACAGGCAAAGTTGTCCCGAGCCTGCGAGTCATCCCGAATTGATGGCTTGTCGCCAAGGACCTCAGCCCAGCTTATCGCTCAATATCAGCCAAGACCGAACAAACGAGCATTAACTAAGCGCTCCGCCACTCTCTTTGTGGATTCGGGGTTCGTCGAGAGTAATCGCCAGTACACGTAGCCTGCGAAAAACCCGTGAAATCGTGGAATGTTCAACTCGCATCGCCAGCAAGGAAGAAGTGTGCACACGGCCTCTGTCCCGAAGGTCATGGTTGGTGGACTCCTGCAGGGACAGTTTGTACCCTGCAGCATCTTTCCTTCCGGCTGTCTCTGCCTGTGAACCTTAGAACCAGTGACTCAACTCCGTTGGAACCTCGCCTCGGTGGCACACTTCAGCACCTTGGACACCATGTCCTGTGTAGACGAAGGCTTCCTGGGAGTGCGGGGTACCATTCTCTTTGCAAACTCTTGCTCTCCCACAACGCACCGAGGGTCTGCAGAAAAAGCTTGACGATTGCCGTCAGAAGCTGGACTTGGACCTAAGCCAACAACTCAAGTACGGTCACGAGTCTCTTGAAGAATCTTCTGGGCTGGCACCATGAGCGGTTCGTCATGGAACGTATCCAGGAAAGATTCTAAGAGTTCATCGGCATTGTCGATCCTACCGCGAGCGGTTTCATGGTAACTCCAGCATCGAGTTCGGTGCATGCCTGCCGGCATACTCGCCCAGGATCCAGATCATGGAGGCCTGCAGGACCCCTACCGAACCCGTGCAAAGCTCGTGACATCTGCTCATGGCAGCAAAGCGGTATTCGGTTCAACACACACCTCCAAAAAGCAGAGCCCTCACAGTTGGCAGGTACAGCGCATGGACCGGCATTTCAACAGACGCACGAAGGCTGCACCAACACGCCCCGAACATCAACCTCGGACGTTGAAGAGCACACTTGCGTGGACGGACGTAATTTTGCCATGCGGGCAGATGGATCTTGCCGACTAGCAGGTTGACCGAGGTTGACCACCCTCTGATCTTGATATGATCTTGCTGGGGAGGTAGTGCGGCTTCTGATGCCTTTTTTTAACAGGGGGATGCCCCAGCCAGGATGCACCCGAGTCACGAGTCTTGGTATTCCGCACGGTGACGATACTCGGATACTCTTCAGAATTCTTCAGACACGGTCACCTTCCCGATATTTGGGTTCAGGAGTTGTTGTTCTGGGTGTTCTGGACACTGCCCAACCACTTCTGGGACGGTCGTCGAGTTGGTCGCCCAACGGGGGACAACAGAAACATGCTCCCACGCGGGCACGCTGTCAAACCGGCCTTGGCTTCCGGCTCATCTAAGACCTCCATGGACTCGCAGAGGGCGGACAACACCTGCAGGTGTTGCTCGCAGCCTTCGGCGCAGAGTTGGAGGGCCTCTTCTATATAGCCCGAACAGCCTGCTCATAGCGAGACGGGTACTTTCGGAAGATGTCCTTCACGGAACTGTGAGGCTCCACACTGTCTGGCATCATCACGACAATGCTTGCAATGTCCTTCACAACCACACATGCCTCTTGCACGACATAGTTGACCTCTTACCATGGGCCGAAATTCCCAAGCTCCACAGAAAACCCTCACTGACAGCCCTGGCAGCCCTGGCAGCCGTGCCCCGAACCTTTGTCTCGATCAGCTCTAGCAACACGTTGATGGCGCGCTCGCAAGCGCGCTCCAGCTTGACCTCGCGTCCAGGCCGCCTATTGTCGGAGGACAACCTCTTTGCAAACGGCCGAGCGGCTGCAACTCTACCGATCGATCGCACGGACTTCCGCACGAACTCAACATCCACGCCTCAGGCGCCCGCAGGTGCGTGCCTGCAATTGTGATCCCTTAGGAGGATGAGGAGATGGCCGGATGCATACTCTTTGAGCTCCAGAAGCACCTGCAACTTCCAACAGCTGTGAGGTATTCTGAGAAGTTCTCCTGCAAGTCACTGCGGCAGCTCGCCTGGTCGAAGTTCTTGTCACTGACAAGCATGCACATTATGTCAACCTGCCCGTGCAATGGTCCAGCACTCTGAAGGCTTCGCGCAACCGCAACCTTCTCAAGTTTGACATAGATGGGATCGTTGTACTTGCAAAAGAACATCTTCACCTCACCGATGCACCAGAAGAAGCTTCCCCTTCATCGGGGGAAATCAGATGCTAGCAAGCAACATCCGATGCCAGAATGCCTGGGCGCTTCTGGACCTCAGCGAGTCTCTGTGCCTGTAAACACCATCGTGCACAGCCACAACGCACGGGCAGCTGGCTATGACTCGGATGTTGCGCAGTGCCACGTACTGAACCTCTCGAGGCAACACTGCTCGAACGGGAAAACATCTGTCCAGCTGATACCTACAGACCTCTCAGCATAAGGGAGGCCAACGCCACTTTCAGTTCAAAGCCCATCACTTCTGAATGAATTTGAAGCTCTATGTAGTGGGCACTCGGCGTGCGCATCTCAAACACACCTGATCCCGAAGCCAAACCTCTCTCCGAGCCTCTGATTCGCTGGAGAGGAGCGTGACCAGAGGAGGGTTCAGCTTCTTGGCAAGCAGGCGCAGAACCTCTGGCGTCTGAGCTGACAAGTCGTGTTCTTGCAGGATGGATTCACTGGCCTCTGAATTCTCAATGTGTTCCATGCACCTGAGGATCACCTGTCATAAGACTCTGCGTGAGCCCACCAGATGCAGACTCCCACATGGCCCGTATATGGTCCCGCGTTGCCGTGTCAGTGCCCCGCCCCTCGCCACCGCCCCCCCCCTCCGCACGGCAGCCAAGCCAGGCCTCTCATCCGAGCAAACAGTCACAGGAATGATGCTCGTCCGCATCATCATCCTCGTAATTGGCGACGGTTCTTGGAACTCGCGCAAAACATCGCCCCCCCTCACCCGCTACCCACACAAATGAGAATGATTGCGATAATTCTGAGGACAACGACTCTGATGTGCATCTTGCATGTTAGTATTCCGACTGTGCCTGTTGGTAGTTTGTATCGGTTGGGCGTGTGCTTGAATGAAATTCGTTCAAGATTCTTGAGCAAGGGACCGGAGGAGCGTGCGAGCGGGAATCATGATCACTATCTTCGAGGGAGGGGCGGGGGGGGGAACCCACACCACAAAGAAGCACAGGGGGAGGGCGGGGATTCCATGGGGTGGGGTGGGGAGGTGGGGTGGCGTGGCGTGGCGCGGCGTGGGGTGGGGTGGTGGGGAGATGTACCATACCCACCCATACATGCCCACACATGCCCATACCATCCCCTACTGAAAGCCCGCCTTGATGGCCGCGATAACCACAGCGGGGTTCGCATGGGAGAGCCTTGCCGGAAGCCACAGCAACACGCACACTTTGGACTCGGTGTTCATGTTCTCCGTCCTCGCCGTGACCCTCTCCGTGATGGACTCGGAGTCGTTGGGCCCAGAGGGTTCTAAGATGGAGGCAGACTTCCACCAATCACGCGCAGGTCAGCACTGAAGCCCAGGCCGTACGTTGCAATGGCGTCCAGGATGAAAACCTGCCAAGCATCAACTCACCACCTCATTCATTGCTTGGAGCTGTATGCATCGTAAGTGCCGCAAACCTGGCCCCATTCGTTGCACTCATTGAGGGCTGCCAGAAGCTTGTGGATGTTGCCCTGTCCACAAGACTGATCACTTCTGATGGCTGCAGCAGGATGACTAAAAAGCGCACACACTTTACAAAGATCGCCTGAGCTTCAAAAGTGTTCCTCGCCTTGTCTAAATCTAGCAAATCCTTGCCGCAAGTCTGAGATATCTCTGCAAGCCCTGCGACAGCGTTGGCAACGACCTCGCTTATGTCACATGCTGCCTTTTTCAGGCGTGGGGAAGAGCTTCGCAGATTCTCAGGAGTTGGCCATTGGATTTCCGTCTCCAAGAAGGTCCTGTGCGCTGCAGGGCCAGAAGCCCTAACGACCGAGTCTGAATCGGACTCGGGGAGAGCCGTGCCTTCAGGATCTCCACGAAGCCTTGGTCCTCCACCAACTCCGGATTGATGTCGTAAACCTGCAAAAACAAGCGGCCTTTCAGGCTTCGTTTGGACTGAAAGGTCAAAAGACCTTTCCAGAGGGCCTTCGGAATACATATCGCGGAGGTCTTGCGGACATAAGGGTCCTGATCCTGGCGCAGGCAGAATTCAAATTGCTAGTCTCTCGCGGCGTCCCATGGCTTTCGGCCTGGCAACATCTTCTCAGGGGCTCTAGCAAGTACTCCGTGACCTGTCAACATGCCCAAGAGATGGCACAGCATGCCTCCGATGCACGCGTGGCCTGGTCGAGCCGAATGCAGCCCATGGTCCGGACCTGGAAGAAGGTGCAGACCCGTTGGGGCTGATGCTTCGGACAGGAAGCAGTGAGCTTCAGAGCTTCAGGCAGCTAGCGAACGGATCAGAGGGTTTGGATCCGTCGCATCCTGCCGGCATGCCCGACAATGCCACAGCAGGTGAACAGCAAAACCAATAACTGTCGCCTTTCTGAAGGTGTTGATCGCCAGAATGGCGAGCTCAGGCTGAGCCTCTCAAGCTAGATCAGTGCCATGGCAACCCAACTCTGACCATCTGCAACGGGCTTCCCCAGCCCAGCTTACTCCGGCACCTTCGCGTAGTTCATGACATACAAGTAGACGAGCTTCTTCAGCTCGATATTGTCTGTCCTCAGTATAAGAGAAACACTGGCAGTCTTCATGAACATCGAAGTTCCTGAGTCCTGTGGTGTATTTAAAATGTCCTGTTTTGCGGCCAGGCCACATCTAAATCTCGCGACACATTTCTTGTGCAGCTTAGTATAGGCTGCTTTTCTGCCTGCTGTATAACATGCCGTACAGACGTTCCCGCTGAGCTTGTCAGGAACTGCCAGGCATCCTCCAAGTGCCACGTAGTTTGGGCATGTGCTGGGGGTAAAGGGCTGGTTTCAACCTTTCAAAGCTAGAATGATCGTTCTCTATGCGTGGAACGTCCCGAACGATGATGCCGTGGAGTGCCCTCTGCCCTCTCGGGACGCTGTGTTCTCGGAAAGCTTCACAAACAAAGACGCCAGCGCACTCCGCAAACTGGCTTGGCAGGCTCGAGGCCAAGCAGACAATGATTTTTCTAGTATTGGTGGACTTGATGCTCGGTTCTCGCACAGCATCACTCTCTGTAGATAGGCACTTCCCCATGCACTGCAGCCTTTGCTTGCCTTGGTGTGCCATGTTGAGGATGTTAGGCTCGAGACTGCAAAGCTCTACATTTGCCTTGTCGTATCTTGTCATGCGCTACCTCAGCGGTAGCTCCTTGTTGCGGAGGAGGCCCTATCGACAACTTAATTTCATGGCATCTGCCTATCGACAAGCAGCAAAGCCACAAGCCGTGGGATGTTTAAGTATGCCTGTTCTTGAGTCTCCCCACCAAGTACTTCCGCTACCGTTTTGGTTTGTGCCACCGTGTCCTGCAAATTTTGAGATGACAGAAGAGTATTGGGCACTTATGGCTTGGTACGACTGTTGGCGTGGTTAAGAGCTAAGCGCGTGACTGGATGCAGTTCACCACATCTGCAAAGAGGGCGGACACATCCTTGCCGACAGTCATGTTGGCAATGACCTGTGCAGACTGCATGTGTCCAGCACAATTTTGTGGCTGCGACTTACTGGCCTTTTTCACCGCATCTTTCTGCTTCTGCTTGTCATTTGCATGGAGTTCTTCTTTGAGTTCCTGGCAACGTCCAAAGAAGCACAGGAAAAAGCTTTCCTCGAGGAGAACACGACACCTGAATCTCGCCGCGCTTTGTCGTTTGGAAGAACTTTCCGTCATTCTGCTTCCTCCGGCCGGCACATCTCGCGATAAGGAAGGGCACTCGACGGTTTGATGAGGCTCGAGCTGTCTCATTGCCACCATTGCAGAGCCTCCGACACATGATCTCACACGCACCAGGTAGGCGGTCCGCGGCCTTTGAGGTCACGACCCTTCCACTGCCGAGGGCAGCAAGCCTGCCTCTACCCGGGAGGCGGGCCTCCAAGTACTGCAAATGTGAAAGCTCACGAGTCTGCAGCCTGGATGTCGCCTGCACCACTCAAGCTGGCAGTCTCTCGGAAATGGGATGCCATGAGCTTGCAGAGCCGAACGGCAGTTCAGCGGGACGACAGTTCTCGAAACCAATCGTGCTTCGAATCTTGGGCAATCGACTACAAGGCAAGAGAATGACAAACACCCGCCGTTTGGCTTGCAGAAAACTGCTTCTTGCAATTACCTTTGGCAATGCAGTGAGATTCCTTGCGACTGATGCTGCAAGAAGCTTCACTTCCAGCATGTTAGCTGGTTGCTTCGCCTTCTTTGGCCTTGCGTCAGGGGTCATAAGCGGGGGCTGAGTGACAAACGCGGCTTTTCACATCTCGCGAGCAGCCACACATGCAGTAGAAAATAGCTGCTCAGAAAACAGTCGCAGGGCATTGATGGCCACTATCTTGGCACTTGCAACCTTTTCGCACTAGCTGACTTCCGGCTTCACACTGTGCATGCCAGTCCCATTCACAGTAATTCAGACTTGTCGCATCTTGCTGACGCAGCTTTCATGATCAACATTCGAAAGCCAAACCAGTTTCAATACCACAACCAGGATCGAAAACATGAGAAAGTCACGAAGGGAAGTGATTGCGACACTGCCACTGCCCTGCCTGTCTCCATTCACGCCTGGCGAAGCATGAATTTCGGCAGGCGTTTACCGATTTTACAGCCGCACATGCAATCATTCACAAGGCCAGGCACAGTGCCGACTAGCCGCTGCTGTTTCCGGATCAGGTCCGTGTCTTGCCGAACTTCTGCTGCAAGTTTGGCGTTGCTCCTCCAAGCCGGGAAGACAAAACACATGCGGCACAACGAGCCATGCATGGCGATTCGGGCATCCACGTTTTGTTCTCGGCCAGGGAGTGAAGCACCTGTCTGGCAGCAAACAGGGAGATATTGACCTTTCGGATGCTTATCTTTGGGTCATATGTTGGTAAAGCGCACAACGCCTTCGCCGTGGCGTTGCCGACATTTTCAATGCTCTCCTCGATATCGCCTTGTATTGTCCTGAAACATGTTGCTAGTGATAGTATTCTGGTAACTTGAACACAAAAGATCCTGCTGAGCACACGACCGGATACCGTCAGCACTGAAGGCATGCTCCAAAGACTTTTGAAGCTCTCCACTCTTGTACCTCGCATCCAAGGGCTGCAACAAACATGGGCATCAATTCCCGTTTTCTCTAGACGTCCAGAACGTCCACATCCCACGCCGCTGCCTGTTCACCAATGATGTGATTCCCTTCCTGCCACTCGGAAGTCGCAGCCATCAGGCTTCGTGAAACCTTTTCATCCCGCTACTGTGGCCTCATCATTGCATCATGTGTCGCTTGCTTCTCCTTGAACGCGTTGAGCCGGAGAACCTTACTTCAAGTCGGCGGGAACAAGCAGGACATGACAATTCAGGTAACCTTCTGACTGTCTCGAGCTTCCGGCCTCTCGTGCTTCCAACACAGCATTGCGCTCGTGTTGCGGCAAATCCCAGACGTTTTTGTTTCGGGCTGCCAGCAAGTCACAAAAACACAGTCAAGTGCAATGTGTTTGGGTGGCATTCTCAGGCCTTCGGGATCATCCCACATCAGGATTGGCTGCCCTGTTGCCGACTGAATAGATGTCCTGGCTTTAAAACCGCCAAAAGCCCCATGCTCGGCATGGAAAAATGCGCTTGAGTCTGACACCATCCCACTGCTGGGTAATTGATTCTGACCTCGGTTCACGCAGGTCTGCCCACGAAAGGATGCCAGCAAGGTAGTTCAGTTTCCTGCCCTTCTGCCATGCTTGGCTATGACGTGCACGAACATGCCCATGGGAAGCGTTTGCACCTCGGCACCAAAAACAAGGCGGAGCTGTCATGTGTGCTCCCATCAAAAAGCTCTGTAGCCGATGCTACTGGACTCTAATGTGCTGCGCTCGTTCACAAGATGCTGCATGTATGTTGCAGGGTGTTCCGTGGTGCTGCCCGAAAGGACATCAAAGCATTGTGGGCGAGATCCTCCAATGTCTCACGTAGAGCCCGTTCGGCGCTTCGGCTGAGGCTGGTAGTAGAGTGATGTGGAGTGGCAACATGATTTGTACGGTGAATTGACAGCTGTCCCCCCAATTTAAAGTTGTATCCTGTACAATGTGTGCAAATTTGGAAAGAAGCTTAAATTTACGAACATTGGTCGCCATTTATCGGAGCAAGCATGAGTCCCTTACGCGAAGCAAGTCCTCACATCCCCATTTTCGTCGTGCTCTTGCCTCCCCTCCGCAATTTTCTGCAGTCGTCGTCATAGTCGCACAACCGGCGTGATGGACCAAGCCAAAGAACTTTCCCAAGGCGGTCCGAGCCTTCTTAATCTATGGACGCACTCCCCACCTGGCCACCGAAATGGGACTGCCATCAAGGAGAAGTCTGAGCTCAGAAACCCCGGGACCACTAGGCCAAGTGGATATGGTGTCCATTCACCCTCTCACTTCCTGTCTCCTCTCTCTCTTTTCTTCTTGTAGGGGAAGCCCACGGAAGCGGCCGCCTCTCCTATCGTGCGAGTCAAAGAATCCGTCCCCAAGCCACGCATGACATGTACACTGCTGCGCGAACTCGATGGCAAACACTCTACGTTTCTCTCTCGCGCCCTGAATGCAACCTTATCACCGCTTAAGGTGGCAGCCACGGGCGAGGTCAAGCTCTCGTTCTGCCGAATGAGAGTGTTCAGCCTGTGGAGTCCAACAACATGGTTCTTGCCACCGGTTTGTATGCATGCTGCATGCGAGAAAGGCTGCAGATACATCTCAGGCTCCCTCACTGCCCTGTGCCACCCGGTGGTATTGACTTTCCATGCACCGATGGTCGCAGAAAGGCCTGCACAAATATGGCATACAAACAAGGACATGAACATCCACAGGTCAATGGTACACAACTGCGGACAGCCTCACTTTTTGTTTGCAGGCTTGTGGCATCGGGTTATGCAGCTACAACATTCAAGCAGGACTCTCACAACACTCTTCTCCACTGATACGATCACTTCTGGTTCGCCACCAGGGGAGAGCGCAGCACAGAGAAAAGGATGGACCAAGTGTAACGTCCCACTTACGACATGCCTAAACACAACAGTATACCCAGATCGGCTCCCGGCAGCTCAAATCATTGGCATGTGTCTTGAAACGATGCACATCTCGAACCGGATTGGAACAGTGAAACCAGGTCACCGGTCACCGGGTAACATCACTGCATATCTCGCAGAACCCAACCAATGCTCGGATCTAACTCACACTGCACGTTTTCGGTTAGCTCGGAGTGCATACACGGAAGAGATACTCAACTAGACTTCAGGTAGTGACCTGTCTTCGGACTGCGCTGCTGCACTCAGAATTCCCGCAGAATCCTTCTCCATCATCTTACAGAACTCGTCGAAGCCTGAGTTTGAAGCTCGTTTATGCAACATCCTACTGCAAAGTGCTTTACTGCGCCCCAAAACCAATCTGAATCTGGCACCAACGTCGCAGCTGGCACGTTCTTCCCCCCCGCGTTTACTTGCAACCGAGCTGCTGATCTCACCATTGGAGTCCAAGTCCACGTCTTGCACCATCTTCTCAATGTAGGACATGTTGTCCTCCTCCTGGGCGCACGACTTTCCGAAAGCATTGCCACTGCAGCTCAAGAGTGACAGCACTGGCCAAGTCGAATGCCTTCAGGATCTTTGCCAGCTCGTCCTGACACACAATGTACAGAAGGCAGAACAGACAGCAACGACATCGTTCAGAACTGAAACTTGCGGTGCTCAGCCTTCGTGATGACACCGTCACCGTTGGTGTCGAAAACGCGAAAAGCTGCCCACATCACTTCGCGCCTGCGGGCGGTTTTCCCCAGGACGAAGTGCAATTCCGAACTTCGAAGCAATCCAAATCCCGAAGCCTCAAATATTGCTTTTTGGTTAATGTCGCTGCCATGAACTCAGTATAGTCGATGTTGCCGGATCCATCCGTATCGAGGTTCTTGACTATCTGCACCTGGGCAAATGAAGCTACAGGGAGCTGAGCATAGATGAACTCACTCGGGACTGGGGATGGGACAATGTCATCTGGCAAGTCTGCCTTCGCTGTCCTCATGCCAGTTTGAATCTCTTCGAGGCCTCAGGTTCAGCTAAAATGGCTTCTCAGCCGAATCACCACTTCAGCCAAGTCTCTTAGAGTCCCGTCCCTGTTCTTGTCGAGCTGAATGAACGTGTCTCGGAGCTCCTTCGGATGAAGACATCAACGATGAGAGATTGGCTGCACAGATTGGCAAAAGCAACACCTTGAGATCATCGTCTTTGAGCTGCTGGGCTATGAGGGTCAGGGCCACTTTTTTCATCCTGACGTCCCGATCTTAGCCGAAGTTTCATGGAGAAACAATTCGCACACGTGCCTCGAATTGCTCTGGAAGCGCTTTAACTTGTGACCCAAGTCCTGCACCGCAACAAAGGAAATATTGGCAAATCATTAAACATCGAAATGAAACTGGGTCCAAAGTTAGAAGCTCTGCGTCCTTGGCCACGGCTCCTACTGGAGCACTGACGGATGCAGTCAACCACTTATGCATCAGCAGCGTCGAGGCACTTGGCCGTTGTCCTTAATGAGGAATGAGGCAAGCACATGTGAAACCCGGCCTGAGAAATGAAACAGCTGGGCTGCTTGGGTCATATGTGAGCATCAGCTTGATGAATTCGATAGCATCGCTGGACACATCCGACCAGTCAGCTGGATCAAACTTCACTTCTCCCTTCTTGACCTGCAGAACACCGGTCACAAGTCTGTCCCATCTATGCAGATATTTGCGTCTTTTTACAACTCCTCAGGCCAACATCTCCATGGTGTCCCTAATGCGTCCAGTGTGACAACACTACGTATTTGGCATCGGGTTGTTTATTGCCCTGTCATTTCGGCCAGGTAGCCATTGCAAGGATCTCCTTGTCTTTTTCACCTGCAATAGCTTGATCGTCCCGATCGTAAGGACAACTTCAGCTGCACACGAAGTGTGGTGATCTGCAACTGAGATACCATAGAAGGGTGGATAGCCTGGCTGC